CCCCCCTCCCCCGGTTCCTACGGCCATTTCAGCTAATACACAGACTGTTGAGGAACGCAAAATTGTCGCTTATACTTGCGATGCTCAGAAAAATAAGCATCACCACAAACTTAGGATGATCTTAGGATATGATTTATGTTGTCCTAAAGTTAGGACGAACTTATGACGAGGTCCTAGATTTAGGAAAGCTTCGAGAAACTGTCTTAAGACTACGATATTTCCTAAGACGTTCTAAGGACACATCACAGTCCTAAGATAGCTTCGTGAACATGCCTGCAGATCTATTATATTTATTTTTTTTTATTCTATAATTATTTATATAAATATATTTGGTCAGGAGTGTAAATCATTTTTTAAAGATTCAAGTTAAATGAAGAAAAGACTTCTATTCATGCTTAGAAATATTCTTTAATTAATACTGATTTTTTTGTATAATTTAATACTAAATTATTTACAGTTTTATTATTAAAATCCTTCTCTTTTTCAATTTTATCAACTCAGATGTGTTTTTATCTTTTCTTTGATTTTTTTTATGAATGTAAAAAAAAATAAACACACTGAAAAATTCTTATAAAATTCAAGTAATTCCACCTCAACTTCACTGAAACAACAGAACAAGTTCTGATGTAATTTTCACTTCACAATTCTACTTTAAAGACGCCCATGCTCTTGGTCAGGAGTGCAACAAGTATGTTAGAATTCTTGCTGATCAAATATGAATAAATGAAATATAAAGATACATGTAACGAACAGTATTCAATCTCGAAAGTCCAATGAAACGATACAAATTTGGAGCAGAGCAAACACGGACCTCAAAATTTCGATGTGGGATCAGGTGAAATGGAGGAGTGAGCATTCCCTGCCAACCGGTCACACCCGCCGTGAGCTCCTTGTCATGATCGAAAAAAAAAAACCCGGAAAAATCCGTAGACAGTTTAGTGTATAAATAATAGCCTAAAAATTAGTATGAAAAACGTCAGTCAGCATTTGGCCCAATGATAGGTTGTATGTGCTGACAAGGTCAATGTATCGACCATAAAACTTGCGAAATGATGACTTCAAACGAGACTGTTGATATCCTTGCTTCATCAACTTGTTTGCTTGCCTTGTTTTAGAAATTGTTCATTGTGTATCGAATCAACTGAGAGATATAAACCCCGTATACGGGTGATAAGGGTATATTGCTACATAAGTAAGGGAAGCTGACGAAATAAAGAAAAAAATGATGAGTAGAATATTTCTGGTTGACCTCAATTGGTTATGTACAGTGTTTGTCCTGTGAAGGAAAATATACTATTAAATATATTTTATTTCCTAAATATATATTTTAGCTAGTTTTCTGACATGAATAGGGAATTATTCAAGATATAAAGCCAATTTTAAATACTTTCATGTGGTTAATTTTTAGAAGTATTGGACTATAAATATTGCACAATTTCGTTACCAATTGATGTTGCCAAAACATAATAAATTTTTGTGTTCTGTAGTTTTAATTTTACTGCAGTCAGGAGTGCAACAAAACTGTTCTTGTAATTGATGTCAAAATATTATATCTATTAACTAATTACAGACATTTTACAGTCAATTCAAAGAATAGTTTTCATCACTTAACACATATACAATTTTTTTCAATACCATATATATATATATATATATATATATATATATATATATATATATATATATATATATATATATATATATATATATATATATATATATATTAGGGATGTCAACGAATATTCGAACATTCGAATATTCATTCGATGAATTGATATTCGAATATAAATTTAAGATTCGAATATTCGGTGTTTTTCTGATTTCATAAAAAGAAGTAACTGTGATTTAAAATTTTATATTAGAACAGTGCTGGAATTCTTCCTGTTTAATTTACTAGCGATCAATGTCCATCTATACTTTCTTAACTTATAGATCTACTAAATTATTTTGTTTTGAATAAGGTGTTAAAAATTATACAATAATGCTTTATGTATAATACAAAAGGTACTTTCATAGTTTTTATTAGTTAAATACGATCGGATCTAGAATCGAGGATAACAAGATTAAAACCTTCTTAGAATGTGTAAAAGACGTGAAGAGTTATACTTATCAAAACACATTTAATTGATCATTGAATGAATGTCCGATAGAATTAGTCTGTAATTAATATTTTAAAGGGCTAAATTTCAGTATTAATGTGTAAATTACTTGATTATCTGGGGTTGTACATAAACCTGAATTTTATATTTATCATCGGGAAATTAGTTAATTACGTAGGAAAATTGTCTATGGAAATCTTTATTTATATTCTAAAAACATTGTATCAAAGATAATAATCATATCTTTTATTAGGCTGATAATTGCAATTAATTACACGTATTGAAATTATACTTTTTCTACATTTAAATCAATTATTTATTTAAAACATTGACAAATATCAAATGGAATCCCTTAGTGTACAACTACAAAAGTCTTCATACATTTTTACAACTACTTAAGTCTTCATACATTTTTACTTCCAATATAAGATTACCTACTATGAACTTTTCATGAGAGTAGGATATGCATATTCAAAATAAACCAGAATTTATATATTTTATCGAATATATTCGAATACTTTCATCGAATATTCGAATATGAAAAATGGACAAAATTGACATCCCTAATATATATATATATATATATATTTAATAAAATATTTTTCCTTGGTATAGGGATAAAATAAAATTCAAATTTAGTCTGTACTGATGAGCCCGCATGTGGCGAAAGCGCTATAGGTTAAAGTTTGAGTTTTTCATTTAAATTATCAATCAAGGTTTAGATCTAATCATTTATATTTCTGATACCATTTTGAAGTATAAAAAATATAAATTCTTTTGATTATATATTTTAGAAAGTCTTTTAGGGTGTAGTGATATTTTCTTGTTTTCAAATAAAGTTTTACTAATAAAAATTCAGATACTTTTTTATCCAATTTTTTGTTCTATTGCAACTTCAGGAATTTTAACATGCATGTACAATATGATTATATAAGTGAAAAATATGTTATGGTTAGTTGAATTCTTTCAAAAATTTCAATTTGGTGGTTATTTTTTTTTTTTTAAATTACCCAAGTGCGTCTTTTGTTGTAAATCAAAGTGAATAAAATGTGATAGTTTTTGTTCATTAAAAGAAAAAGAAATTACCAATTCGATAAAATGATAATACAATACAGTAAACAATAGACTATAGTTTATATCCAATCAAGGCCCTACATAGAAGCATGAAACAGTTACATGCAATGATCGAAAAAAATATCACTCTCTTATTTCAAAGTCATCATTTGAACAGGATTTTTTTTCCATATCCTTTTCCTTCGAACAGCTGGCTAGGCTACAAATATGAAAGTACTACGAAAAAAGTATTTTTCGAAGATTTAATTCGTTCCAAACTTAAGACTTACAAAAGAGTCATTTCTAAACATATAGGGTTATGTATACCACAAACATTACAATTGTTTAGTGGCTTAACGTGCAAATCATAAATAATACTAATAATATTGCATAATAACATATATGTTATCCGAAGAAGCATTTGAGTTACATATTTATTTTTTTTAATGCTTGCAATCCAGCTATGATGCAATTTTCGTTGCTCTTAGATTGTCTCTGAAGATTAAAAAAAATATGTTAATTATCAAAAAGACTAATCAAAGAGAGAAGCCATTTTGTCTACTTTCGGTTTGTGATAAGGCGATAAAGAAGGGGAGGGTTGGGTAAGTGGTTTAAATATTTTAAATATCTTTAGTATATGATGTTCATGTAAACCTGCAGGTTAAAATGTCAGATGGTAGCTATACCTGGCCATCAAAACCTCTATTGTTTTTGTAGTCATCGTAAATTCGAAATTCTCGGAAACCGATATTCATAAATGTTATGCCCCATTTTGACTTACTTAGTTACCTGTTGTCTTGTTAGAGATCGATATTGTTATTAGTTGAAAACTGAATATTGATGACTATTAAAATATTTGATGTGACGAGAAAAGGTATCATACAAAAAGTCTGTATTTGACATGTTTAAGTCTTACATATATCCAGTTATAATTTGAGGACAATGTGATTAATTTTTTTCTACATCCTGTTCCTTATGTTAATAATAATACACACACACACACACACATAATATGGTTTTACCAGCATTATTCTTGTTTTTACCACTTGAAGTAGTGAAGCGTGTTAAATTAAATGTAAGAAGCTTTTATACGTGTCAAGATTAGGTTATATTTCCTCAAACCAATATCTTATTATCTTCATTATTTTTACTGGAAATGGATGGGAATTCCCACTTCTATTTTAGTTATGTTATTTTAGATGTCAATTTCATTATCTATAAAGTTAGGGATATATTAATCCACTTCTCAATAGTAAACAAATATAGTACATGGACTGGTTTATCAAAAATCAAATTTGAAGGTAAGAATTGTGATTGAAAGTTATCAAGGTGATTTACTGTTGCTATATATTCACAAACCTCGCATTTTCCTATAGTTACGTGTACGTGTACCTAATGATATGGATTGTTTGTGTGTGTGTGTGTGGCTTCTTACTTCAAAATACATACCTTCAAATTTGTTTGAAAAGATATCTATTTGTATAATGAAGATTTAGAATGAAAAAGAGTTTAAAATAAAAAGTCCGTAATAGTTTCACTTCCTAATAAGAACAAATACTATTTCTCTTTTACTTCCTGATTTTGATAGACCCACACAACACAAGGTGCAATATATTTAAATACACTCTAGCAGCAAAAATAAATAAAAAAATAAATAAATAAAAATAAATTAAAAAACCGTTAAAAAAGCTTAGTAATCAGATTCGCCAAATAGAACCAATCGTCAAAAACCTTTATTGTTGGAATTATTTATCACATAACAAGTTGCAAAATTGCTTTGAACAACGGCTCAGTGGTTGTGTATTTTAAATGTTCAACTTACGTCTTTTAAATTCCTTTACCATTTCAGGTGTATCTCATTTCGACATGAGTAACGGGGATGGGCGTTAAGTTGAGGGAGAGTCCACAGGTCAAGATTTCTCGGATAACGACTCGGTTCACGGACAAAACCTACGCACGGAATTCCCTGACCCTGGGAATGTCAAACTTTGTCGACGATATTCGGTTGATGAAAAGTGATCAACGACATTTTATTGTTGATTGTGTCATTGTCATCGACGACGACATTTGACTTTGAAATCATAAGTGAAAAAAAAAGTATTTTTTAGAATTTCTGTAGAACTTTCCCCTTATATATTTATTATATTTTAGTAGTTCTTAAGCTATTTACATTTATCTGATTCTGACATAGAGCTAATAAAAACTGAAAAGTAATTATCTGTCAATAAAAGAAAAATAATAAAATCCAAAACCACCAACACCATTAACAACAAAATTCAGGAATCCTGAAATGGTTACTCCTCAAGAGCTAATGTATTTGAATGAGGCTGATAATCGCAGAGGGATTGACGAATTTGGATCTGGGTTTGTTGGACACCAACAGACACACAACTCCTCTTTCAATGATACACCCTTTGAACCAACAGGCAGTGACAACTTTTCAGATCAAATTCAGCCACGTGACATGGGCAGAGACATCGCCAAAGAGTATGGTATAAACATCAGTCAACCGAAATATCAACAGTTTGCAATCAAAGATGTTCGTCTCAAAACTTTTCAGAGCTGGCCGATGAGCTGCAGTCAAAGACCTGAAGATCTAGCAGAGGCCGGATTCTTTTATTCGGGTAATTGATGATTCACATACATGTATCTTTTGTTTAATATAAAACATTAAAAATGAGGACAATTCATACAATCAGACAATTCATACAATCCGTAGTTCCGAAATAGACACAGATATCACGGATTTATTTTGCTTCAAAAAATATTTTTTGAATAATTGTAATGAGGGGCATTAAGTTTTTTTTAAAGTTTATTTTAGAAAGAATGATATTAATGGAAAGTTTTCTTTTTTCTAGGAAATTCGGACGCCGTGTTCTGTTTTTATTGTGGACAAGGTCTCAAAGACTGGGAGGACGAGGACACACCCTGGGGTGAGCATGCGCGCTGGTCCTCCGAATGCCCTTATCTCCTCAATACAAAGGGAAGAGACTTCATTCGATTAGAGCTGCTACGTGATACTGATCCCGTTCAGGTAAAATGTCCTTTCTAAATTTTGAATTGAAATCAATACATACTAATATTTTTGTTAAATGCAGTCGATGCTAGTGCACTTCTTAATGAAGTCTCATAATGTGTATTGTGTTTGTGTGTGTGTGAAATCCTGATTCATTTTTAAAATTTTCATTATATATTCTCTTCGTTGCACAGTATATTGCCGAGAAAACGCAAGCTATACAAGTGACGGAAAATCGGCCAGCTGTCAAGAGTAAGAAATTAACAGTTTTATCATCATACTCTCAATAATTAAAGATTAATTACTGATATCAGATATATGGTAGATAGATGGGTGAACGAATTCGAAGACCAACAGATTTTGTAAAACAATGTTGGAATCTCTAAAGAAATGATGAGAAAATGCAATGTATCAGGAAATCTGTTACTTTAGTACAGGTATGGCTCAATGTTTTGAGAGAATATAAAAGAATATAGACATTGATTATTAAAGTTAATCATGTAAGAGTTAAAAATTCATTCAGATCGTAGCCAAATATACAAAATATATGATTTTTGAATAAACAGGGTGGTCACCAGTTCTAAGATATTATTCGACCCTCTTCCTAATTTATTGATGTATTCAGTATATTAGCCAGATCACAACTAAAACAGTAATTAACTAATCAACCATTTAAGATTATATTAAATATATTTTATAGAAACCCCACAATAAGCTTCGACAGAATTAAATCTTATTTAATCTTGAAAAAAAAAATATTTTAAGAAAAATCTTACTGATCATTGGCAACTTCCTTCTAAACTTCCATTCATTGTTGCTTTTCGTAGGTTCTGAGAATGATACTTGGAATAATCCTGCAGTAGAAAGTTTACTTCAGAATGGATACGGGAAGGAAATGGTTCATAAAGCCATCTTATGGTTTCGTAAGGAGAAAGGGGGTAATTGCAAATCGAACTCTTTATATGCGTTCGACGTAAATAAACTTGATCTTTGTTTCTTAAGACTGTATTTAATATTTGGATTCATAACTTTATAAATTATTACATACAATTTATTGAAGGAAGAATTTACAGGCAAAAAACAGTAGACTATTTTTCTTAGAAAAAAGTTGCATCTAGAGACAAAGACTTGCCACATTTGAACACTAAATCCCTTTTCAGAACAAATATTATAATATTTCTCCATAATGTTCGCAAGTAATTTGAATTAAGACTTATGTATAAATTATTATTTCCGCAGAAAATGCGCCTTTATCGGCAGCAGAACTTCTCAACATAATTTTTGACTTTGAGGAGGGGACTGTCGTTTTCGATGATGTTGAAAAGAAAGGTTTGTGATTTTATACCATTCCGATTAGTTTCCTCACATAAAAAAGTGTGAAATAATTTATATAAATGAAAACAAAATATATTAATAGAAGCTGAGCTTCAGAGGGATTTGATTCGAAAAGAGAACGAGGAGTTGCGGAAGTCAACCTATTGCCGGAAGTGTTCCACACGTCTCGTTTCCGTGGTGTTTCTGCCCTGTGGACATCTCTGCACATGCACCGACTGTGCACCATCAGTCAAGAATTGTTTGATGTGTAACGTTTTTATAAAAGGCACCATACGCACCTACCTGGTGTAATAAAATTTATTTAGCAGGGATTCGAAATGATAAATAGTAATAATTTAGGACCTGAGGATTCCATTTGATAAAATTACATGTAATAACCCAAGTTTGTTCAAGTACTGTACCAACATCTGGATTTCTCTTGTAATATTGAGATAAAACAAATTCCTGTGACAAATACTTGTACATGTGTATCAACTTTTATTATACTCAGCTGTATACGTAAAAATTAACAGATGGTGGAGACCATACACATAAATAAAAGGTTTTATTTGTCTCTGAAGTGACGGAGGAAATGGAATTCATGTTTTGACAGCTACATGTAATTTTACTTTTTTAAGGATTGTTACCGTAACATATATTGTTACAGGAAAGGGATTTCTTTATGTCAGACGCATGTATCAAATGTATATGTTTAATTTTACTTCAAAGGATGTCCAAGTGTGTGGGTAGGGTTTTTTAACACTTCAACTGCATAAAAGGAGTTGCTTGCTTTACTTTTAAAATGTACTAATTTCACTTTAAATGGTTAAAACTAGAGAATTCAGATATTTAGAGGGTTTGCTACTTTGTGTGTTTCATCGTTAAAAGTTATCTGATTAGTTTTACAACATTAATTTTGTACTATTCTCTTTAAGCATATTCTACAATAATTTTTGTTGAATTTTTTCAGTTATCGGTTATATTCTCACACAATACAGTTAAATATAAATGTTTTTAAAAATGTAGGTACTTTAATATAATCACTTTTTACTGTGATATTAATATCTTTGTACTTTTTGTCAAGATTCTTTATGTACATAAAGCCAAATCAATTTCCCTTCAGACAGAAGTTTTTTTACTCTACTTTGAGTTGTTTTAATTAAATTCTATGCTTACAGTATGTCTTCGATTGTATTTTCTAATAGATGTTGATGAACTGAAGCCTTCAGATATGGCCCTCTTTTGTCTCTCTCTCTCTCTCTCTCTCTCTCTCTCTCTAACACACACAACAACAACGCTGCTCTATCAGAATCAAGAGCCTTGTTTCTTTTTGTAAAACAATTCTTTGTTAATTCTTGTTACACATAGTTGCTGATATTTGTAGAAAATCAAATGTCTCAAAGAATATCTTTCATAAATTTGTAACATCTACTTCTTTAACTGTTTGCAAATATAATTGTCTTCGCTTATAAATGATAAATATACATACTGAATTTAAAAAAAAAATCACAAAAAATAAATTAACATTTTTTGTATCCCCCCCCCCCCCACTGGGAATTTTGTCAAAAATATTTTCTAAAAGTTGAATTATTATATACAGATTTATCACACTCTTTAAGTAAAGACTCTAAGTGATATATAATAAAATTCTTTTTAAAATCATTCAATTCTCTACAGGTGATAAATAAATGTAAAATGTCCTCATGTTGAAGAATACAAAGCAAATGGATATCCGAATCTTCTTTCCAATTTTGATTAATTTTTCGTATGTAAAAATGACATTGTGAAAAATTTGAAAGACTAATTGTTTAAATCAGGTGGTTTATTTGTTTCACATAGGAACACTATTTTTTCTAACTGTTCATCTTTCGTTATGTGAGGTATTCTTCTCAGATATTGATTTTAAACTGGCGTTTGGTACAATTTTTGGATAAGCATTTATAAAACAAATATTCAAGTACAAGTTTAAAAAAAAATATATTCAGTTTTTTAACTGTATCAAAAAATCTGGAATTAAACAGTCTCTGTTGATTTAGGTTCACGAACAAAAATCGTTTATTTTGGTAAAAATAAGACAACAGAAAAAATGGAACTTAAAGAGAAAAAAAAATTTCAAACAAAGGCTTAACTTATGAAGACAAAGAATGCTATCAGCAAACTAAATAAATGTTTCATAACATCTGCTTCCCCACCCAATGCTTTTCTATACAAATCAAAAATTCTGAATATTTCAAAAATTGATTTTTTTTCACGCACTGTCAAAGTGATGTCTTAAGCATGTTGGAACACCAATGCTGTTTTCTCAACCTTCGACATTTGAATACCTTGATCAATGGAATTGATTTCATAGTACAACTCAAAGGTTCTGAAGCTAGATAAAACAAACAAAAACGCTGATAATGAACAACCTTGTCTGACAGAATTCTTAATTGGAAAATATTTTGTTTAAAACCCATTACTCTTTATGCTACTTATTTCTATCTGTATAAAAAAATACGAATCCATATCTTAAAAAAAAATAGTCCTAAACCAAAAACATCTTGTAAATACTCACGACTTGCTCTGTCAAATGCTTTCTCTTGATCAATTTTAATCTAATCCATACAAATTATACCACTTATGCTTGCCAGTGTATCTGTATATCTTTTCCAATAATACAACAGGTCTGAAACTCAGACCTTATATTTGATAATACATTTTTAAAACTATTTGACATCACCCTTGCAGTAATTTTGTAATGAACATTCAATAGACATATACAACCTCTTATCACCTTTTTTCTTATACAAACTGTCCTTGCTGAAATATACTTTATTTTTTGCAAATAGAATATACAATATAGTCATGTTGTATATTTTATTTGCTAAAAAAGTATGTCAGGGATGACGAAAACCACTATCCGATTCATTTGCTCACAGTTCTTTGGATCTTAAAATTGCATCTTTATATTTTTTGTTTTCAATTTCGGAAAGTTCATCTTCTAGAGTCTCAAATTTTGCAATGTCAACAGAAATACCTTTTTTTTTTTTACATTCTCTTATATTCGTTAAATAACATTTTTGTAGTCTAGGCGATGAAAATCAATAGCATACTTGATTCTGACCATCCGGCGCGCCCGGGTAAACCGGCGATGACCGGCGACACACTTGATTCTGAGCCGGTATTGCGCACGCATCAAGCCGGGTGAGTCGATTGAGCCGGAAAAATTTGATAGGCTCGGGCGGCTTCAACATGGCGTCCTTGGGGATAGTAGTGTTGAAAGTTGTTTGTTTTAAGACGTGAAGCTTTTGATCGAGGTACGCTTGTGAAATGAACATATTTGCAAAAAGTGTAGTCCTTTTCTATGCTAGATAATGTTTTTCGATAGAAATACAATATTTCTATTACTTTACATGAACCTATTCGCTTGATTCTAAGAGCGTACCAGGGTTTACCCGGCTTGGTTCGGCTCGGCCGAATTCTATCACAATCAAGTATGCTACAAATAAGTTTTTTTTTCTTTTTTTTTTAGATGGTGACATCTTAACCATAAGACCACTCAACACATATCAGGTAGCATTAAAATCTTGTAATATGACTTTTGAATACTAGTAACAGGACTTCAAATATTTTTAGGTCTTGTGTTCGAATCACGGCTGCAACTGACCTTAGTCGATAAAAATAGGTCAGTGGCGTACGTTTAATATAGGCAAAAAGGCTGTAGCCTACACATCATTTTGTCAGGGATAAAAACTTAGTTGAAAATATAGGGGAGAGGAGTTGATAATAAGCCTTTTATTTTACCTATTTTTTTTTACTTATTTTGTTGCAAATGCCAAAAAAAAAAAAAAAAAAAAAAAAAAAAATCTTAGTAATTCGCTCTTTTATACCTATCCAATGTAAATGTTTACAGTTTAGATTTTTTAAGCCGAAATTCAAGTGTTATATATTAAGTCTTATCAGACAATTTCAAAACCATTGACAGCAACAGGATTAGTGCAGGAAGTGAAATTGATAACTGGAAATATTTTTGGTTAGTAGGAAATTAAACGTATTGTTGGTATTTGGATTATTCAGTAAGGAAGTTACGGTAACCATATTTTCTAAGCAGAGTAAAAGGATACGTTAAGAGTTCTCAATTTTGTTAAGTGCATGGTCTTCATATCATGATATAAACTAAAAATATGTTTAAAATATTATTTTCACTGGTCAAATTACAATCGTTCGCCTACACATCAGCAGAAAGGAATGTACGCAATTGTAGGTAGCAACTGTTCCTTCTCCAAGCGCTCGGCACTTTGAAGTGAAAGTTGCGGGTCATTCGGATGAGACCTTAAAAACCGGGGCCCCGTGTCAAGGTAGGTGTTGGCACGATAAAGAACCCTCACTGCTCAATGGCCGTAAGTGCCGAGTAAAGGTCTAAATTTTAAGCCCTTCACCGATATTGGTGACGTCTCTATATGAGTGAAAAGTTCTCGAACGGGACGTAAAACAACAATCAACCAATCAATCTAATATTTCTTGGATATATAAGGATGTTGTGTCATAAAAGTGTACTTTAGAGGTAAGTGGGTCCTTGCTCCATGTTTTTGTTTACCAAAAATTGTATATTTTTACGCATACTTTGAAGAAATACTTTCGAAAACAAAAAAGAGCTTGTTTTGTGCATGCTATTTATAGGCAATTAAATAATTTCAATACTTTTAAGATTGTAGCAAATTGTGGGCATACATTAATCATTTAATATAAATGAAATATGAAAGAATTTTTTTTTTTTTTTTTTTTTTTTTTTTTTTTTTACATAATCCCGTTTTTCTCTCTTTTTTGTCGAACAAGTTGTATTTTCTTCTGCTTATTCGCTCATCTTCTTCGGAGATGCTGGTGTACATTACAAACAATGAAACAGTGTTACAATAATTGTTCCTTTCAAGGGCAATATAAAATTTGTTGAACCAAACAAGAGCACGCTGTGAACATGGTATGATAAAAAGCAAGATATTTCTTTGTGTTTAACTTCTAATATTGCTACAAAGGAACATGTGGTGGATATCTTGTGATGGGAAACAAAATCGTTTGTGTATATGTCTCGTGTAGTATACAATGGGCAGATGTTAATCGCATATGAAAGAAAATATTCAAAAGACATATGTCTCTTTTATTTTAGAAATATATTGGATTGATCTTTGGTATTAGAGACCTTCTGCACAATGCACACTTAAAAGTTCTTATTTTGTGGTACATATATTTTTATGCATTGCATTGAAATTTTGTAATCAATTCGCGCATTCTTAACATTGTTTTAGAAAAAGATAAATTAATCTGAGCACTTTATTTGCTTGTACTTTCCCAACAGTTGTTTACTTACAGTAATTTATGAAATTATGGAATGCCGGTACAATGTAGAGAAAAAAAAAATCAGGGTACACCTCACATCCATTGGAGCGATCTGTAGGCGTTTGAACCATGTGGATGAGTTTAACTTATATTTTGGCGTTCAACATTCAAAATAATTATCCTTTCTGGTATACTATAGTTTTCTTTTTTATATTTTATCAAACAAACTCTGCAATATGACCACTTAAGTCACACTGCAGTTTATTTTATAAATCATGATTATATAATACAGTAATTTTTACTACGTTTACTTTGATTACACGTAAGAATCTGACTTTAATTTAAGAAGACTGGCCATCTTATTCAGCGAAAGTAAGATTCAGTCTTCAGCCGCTCGATAAGGCCATCATTAAAAATATCTTTGTTTCCCCTAACCCGATCCAAAAATCTGAAGTTGGGTCGGTAGATAGGTAAATTATTTTTTTTTCTGACAGCAGTTTTGGAAATACATTCTGAAAAATTGAATAATATCTTTATAAATAAGAAAGAACAAAAGAAACCAATTTTTAAACCGAATATCATACAAATGAAGCAACATGTCCGGTAAATTAATTCACAAATATTATTCATTTGAACTTGTGAAATATCTCAGGCCAGCGTAAATTTATTGAAATCGAATATTTACAAAAACACAAGATTCGCAAATACTGAACCATCGGACATTCGAGTACATTTTTCAAACCTACTATGATCTTCGAGTACTTACACAGACAAAATGTCAACGGCCGACCTCGCGTGGCGCAGTAATTCTAGTGTTTCGTTTTGGAGTCACGACGTAATTCAGGAGCTTATTCTAAGTCACAGGTCCCGACGTGGGACGCGGAGACCGGTCAGTCGAATAAGACCGTAAAAAAGTAGGTCCAGTGTCGGAGTATCCATGTAGATGGCACGTAAAAGATCCCTTACTGATGCTTAATGATCAATGGCCATAAGTGCCGAATAAAAGTCTAAATTAGGAGCCCTCCACCGGCCCAACAATTTTTTAAAGATATTTTAAAGCAAAGAAACAATCTGTATTCAAGGGCCTAACTAAAGAAAAATAAACTGGACGTCTCAGGAAGCCGTACCATAAGCAAATTTTAAAGATGTCAACACTATTTGGAAATAATGTACATGTATAAACAATATATAATTCAGCCAAACCATATCTAAAATGATTAAAGTTTCATATTTCTAATTTTATAGTCACGGAGTTAATACCCCATAGATAAAATGAATAAAAAAACGACATCTGAATTATATTTTAAGATGAAATAATCATACAAAGACATATTTACAACTCCTATGGTCCTATATAGTAAAAATAGGATAAAATAGAAATAAATTGAAAAAAAAAATAGAAAAATAGAACTGTTTATTAGATCGAAACTAATCAAATGCAGTGAAATTTATTGATATGTATTCATAAGGAGCGCCCTCATCTGCTCATGAGGCAGGCTTTGCTATGCGTACTACGTACGTTAATTTTAGAAGACACATTTGTAAATACCATCTTAACACTCCTTAGTCATGGTACATTAATTCACGAGATGTCTCAAGAGTGTAGGATTCTAATAAGTTAAAGATATTTAATAAGATTGATACGTCACCATCGTTTTATAACACGAACTAACCCTCTGTGGCCACATGTGGGCACCAAATGAGAGTAAAACAAAAGCCGCCGTTCTGATAAAAAACGGATTTTGATGAAATTGTATTTTATTAAGTTGATAAACAATAAAAAAATATTTAAATAATCTTATTTTAAAACTTTTCAGTCGGCACGATTTAAGTGGGTCGGTCGCGTTAGGCATGCCAAGAAAAAGTACGCATTCTAGTTTTAGAGCGAACTCAATAAAAGCGGAATTAGCGTTAATCGGTGATTTTTCCCCAGGGAGATGTGTGCGAGGCAATTAATGTCAGCAGTTTTGAGGGAAGGATCTTAAGTTTTACTGGTTTGAAATTAAAGCTAGAATACTTATTATTTAGAAGCCTTTGCACCTTTTTTCCCGTTGTTTTTTTTTCTCTGGAAGGGGGGGGGGGGCGATTTTCCATGCAAATCATATGCGGTTAAAAAAGTAAGGGAAAAAAAAGAAGAAAAAGAAAGTGAAATAAATTGTAGTGAACTAATTAATTGTTTAGTAAAAATTAGACGCCTTTCAAATTTTTCAGTGTTTATATATCAAAATATTTTTTTCCTAGTATAAATTAACATCGGGCACGATGAACTTGGTTGTTGTGGAAGTCTCGCGCCTTGTTAAGGTATCATACCGGTAATTGACCAATGAAAATGAACTTGGTCAATTGTAGTTCCATACCTATAAAATTATTATTTTTTCCTTTTGATTTTTTTTTTATTTTCTTCCAGTCTATTTTTACAATTTTGGTACCTGTGTCTAGTGCATTTTACATATTTTGTAAATAAATAAAGGTTTTTGACAGGAACTATTTTTTTCAGGGCATAGGAGGCTACTTCCTGGGGTAGAAGTTTATTTTTCTTTGACTAAGAAAACGGAAAACTTAGGATCCACCCCCTCAAATCTGCTGCCGTTAATTGTCTCGCCAGCGTTAGGGGAATATGGGTGATTTGCATCAATTACACTTTTATTGACTCCATCGCTGTGGAAAAATGGACGGGATTTCTTGACATGGGGAAACAAAGGTATTTTTTATTTTGGCCTAATAACTGAATGCGGGATAGCACCGATGTCGGAAAAAAAGCTTGTTGGCCTTTAACGCGGGTTGCACGAAACCTTTTTCTGTTGTCAGGATGGAACAACAAATTGGGTTCAACATTTCTTCAATAACTGGTAAACGAAAATCCGAAAAGAAGCACGCGAAGATATAACAAAAGTGTTGATTAAACTATGGGCGCCAGCAAGGAATTTTTATCAAAAAATAACAATCTTGTCAAGAACAGCAAATTTAGACAAAGAATGTATTCAAAAGTCTAACATCATGACCGAATTAATATTTCCCGTCTCCAGGGATATAAATAAAATTGTTATTATTGTCTATCGTAACGCTGATGTACATGTATGCATGAATTTAATTTTTCCCCAAACAGTTGTATAAAATTTTATTATACTTCTGTTAAAATGTTTCCTATATAAAGTTAAGAAGGTAAAATAACTATCTTTTATAGTCTGAAAATTTCCACGCAAAGCAAAGCTATACCCCGGGGTATAGTTTGCGCTATCCACCCCTCGGAAAATTTTCATGCAATTTTTGCCGCCAATTTTGATTTCCTATAATCAGTTTATAGACTGATGATGTCGTCCTGACTTCAGTAGCATTGTGACGTCATCAAGATTTCAGCTCATTCTAGCAGTGTTACCTTATTCCAAATACTTGTCCAAAGCTATTGTAATAGTTCTTTTCATGTTTTGCCTATGAAACTGTAGTATCAGGTAATACCTCGAAAAATTATAATATACATCAGTATAATAAAACACTTATCCACAGGCTGTGAGTGGGATAGCTCTTTCATCAAACCCTTGCCAGGAACTATTCCCCTCGGGCAAGCCCTCGGGGAATAGTTCCTGTCGCGGGTTTGATAAAAGAGCTATCCCACTCACAACCAGTGGATAAGTGTATAATGTCGCTAGCACTTTTTTTGCCCTTGATTCCAGTCGCTGCTGCTAGGAAATTTATGCAAGTTGTCCCTAAAACACCTTCATTGGTTTTCCAGGGCACCCGTTAACCGAGGTCAGGAAACCCGCAATCAATAATCTTTTAATAAACAAAGTCTTGCCGCATTTAGAGATTGTTGCACATAGCATTGTTTTGATTCAAATATTGTATTATTCTGAATAAAACAAGTCCGATCTGATGTTACCAGGAGCCACACATGACTGCTGCTGTTCTACCTAGCCTGGTTCCCTGTCCCTGTTTTGCTTCGTATACTCCGCGTCACTAGGATGAGCCAGGGGACAAGGCTACTGTTCTACCCAGTCTGCATTCGGCAAACTTCGGCTGATTCCGTCACCTTCATCAATGAGGTACGAATCGGCCGAGGTGTGCCGAGTGCCCAGTCTGATGAGTTAAACTCGGGATCGGCATTCACGAAATATAAATAGGGAAAACCGGCGAAATACTCACAGTCTCACTGAAGACTTGAATTCAAGACTGAATTCAGTAAAGAGAAGTCTGGGTGATTTTTCATGTTAAGGATTTACTTGTCGTAATTATTGTAAGTACACTCTTTGAACAAGAATACTGAAAGTTTCTTTTTATCTTAAGCATCGAGATTGAATCCATATTGATTCATTTGCGTGAGGTCAAATCAGTACACAAAGGTCAATCGGCCAACGAATGGTCATTTGACCACTCTAGACGAACTCCAAAAACGGCGTGAACGCCGAAAACGAAGTCATTGGCTCCATCATGCATTGCGGAAAATGGCGTCCGATGTAAACAAACAATGGATTGTCGTGCGCTTTCTCCAAATATACTGCCTCTCAATGGCTGTATTTAGTACATTGCGACTTTATTTTAATTTTTATTGAATGAATCATTATCCTTATTAAATTATTTTTGTGGATATTGACTTATCTCTTACAACCCTTTCATAGTAGTGATCTGGATATACGACATCGAATTCAACTGCCTGTAAGAAATATTTTCTTATAATTAAATTATTGTCCCTTGATTTAAATTTTATGTTGTTTCTACAATAAAGCTGCTTTTATTTATTCTTAAGACACCCAGATTGTATTTATTTTAATCAGAAAAAAGGCATTTTTCACCACGTAGCAGAGACATTAACAGTTCATTTTTAGAAGACCTGCTGTGATCTTAAATTTCAAAAGATTAATTTTTTTAAGTTTTCAAATTGATAGATAATACTTTTAAAATGTTTTCATGATATCTGTTAATATGTGATACAAAAAATCGTTAAATAACAATGGTAAGAACTTACACTTTCAATTCTAATGTCGCACACAATTAAAATACTGAAATGATAATTTATGTGTAAAATTCAGTCAAGTTTTTAACACTTACAACATATATTGTTCCATTTTGGATATATTTCCATTTAATTATGCATATTTACTTCTGAAACGCATCATTTTCTCTGCAATTGATTTGACAAGAAACGTCAAAATATCTTCTTTTTCGCAAATAGAATCTAAAATCTGACAAATATGATCTCTTCCAAAGACTTTTATATAGCATTTCACAGTACTGGAATAATTGCCAAACTTTCCAAAACTTTGCACAGGCAGTTTTTGTAGACCCATGATTTTTGCCGAAAAATCATTATTTTCTGCATGTGTGTGTATGCGTGGACTCTTTTCCGAGTCTTTTTCAGTCTCAATTTCTTACTTCTGTTAACACTGTTTTTGGTGTTTGTCTAGACTGTTGACTGTAGAGTTAGTTGACAATCTTACAAGGAATTTAAGATTATGTATTTTTAGAAATTTCCAAAAGATAGTAAGTAGCATTTGTTTTTTTCAGAATTTCACATCTGAACTCCGAACTAGATGTGGAGATGGAGAATGTATATGTACCTAGAAAAATCTGTCTATGGCTTTTATAGTCCGGTAAACTCAAAGAATCGCCTGTTTTATAGCAGCATTTCAAAAGGTAGGGTCCTCTGTAATCTGGTAATGTATTATAATTTATGTAATAAAAGTATGCAAACTATGTGTTCATTTATGATAGATACTGTCAATGGACTGTAAACTCCATAGTGTACATTTATTTCTTGACTAACATGACAGGGGGGGGGGGGGGCAGGCAAACTTTTGTCCCTACATGTATGTATTGGAGACCTTGGGAACCAAAATGCATCAGTTTACCAGGTTTACCCTGCTACTGAGGGACAACAGTGTGACTGTTCTTGGAGTAACCATGAAGTAATTTAAATACCTTAACTTCTTGATAATGCCCTGAGAAATAAATTAGGCCAAACAGTATCTTTTTTTTTTCAAAAGTTAATGTAACTGTTGCCTGAAATATCCATATTTGATCTACATCAATTAGTACTTGCACCTGAAGAAGCAGTACCACTGAAAGCCAATCCAATAAGCATGACTGAAGTCCCTCAAATAATACCACAGTTCTACAGAAGGGTTCTCCCACAGACCTGTATATCATTCTATTCTGAAGAAGGAAAGCGAATTTTCCATGAGGCTCTAGATTCTGGTCACATGGAGTGCTATTTTAAGTTGGCGGCCCAATTTCGGACTCAGGATGAACCAGCCTTTTGTGGACTGACCACTCTAGTGATCGCATTGAATGCTCTAGAGGTGGATCCAGGGGAGGTGTGGAAAGGTAAAATAAAACTGATGGAAGAATCTAAAAATAGAAAAAAAATATCTGTGACAGAAACTATTATATCTTTAGTATTCAGTTGTATTATTTTGAGTCACTATTTAATTTCAGAAGTATTATTTCCACATTTTACCACTGCAGAGAATTTGTTAAAGTTTGTTAATATAATTATTCTTTTCCATACCTCAGGACCTTGGCGCTGGTACCATGAGAGAATGTTGGACTGCTGCATCCCTATAAGTCTGGTGGAACAGGAGGGGATCACCTTTACCCAGTTTGTATGTCTGGCTGAGTGTAACTCATTGGAGGTACAACCAACAAAGGCAGGTACTGGGGGTACCCTGGAACAGTTCAGGCAGATCATTACTGAGTATACAAAGAGGGATGATGCCTTCCTGATCCTCAGTTACTCCAGGAAAACTCTCAATCAAACAGGTGAGCCTTGTAAAATAAAACATAGATGCATGTTTATAAGCAAGAAAGATGCAATCAATTTTGAAAATACAGTGAAACTTGTCTAATCCAGATGTTGTGTAATTCAAAATCTTGCCTAATAAGATGAAAACTTTAAGTCCCTTTCAGTAAATACAATTGTTTAAAATGTTGGCTAATCCGGAATGTTGTCAAATCTGACCAATTTCAATGGAACCAATGCTGTCCGGATTAGACAAGTTTTATTGTACTCAGTTTTGGTTTGAATTATGTTATTCACAAATGGATTCACTGATAATGAAAACATAGCTTTTTGTTGTTAGAAAATATTAGAGTATTTATAAAAAAAATCTTTATTCAAAAAATGAATGTTTTGTGATTTGCAGGTGATGGGCATTTTTCTCCAGTGGGAGGGTACCACCCTGAGAGAGATCTGGTCCTTATGCTGGACACTGCACGGTTCAAGTATCCCCCTCATTGGGTCACTGTGGATCTACTCTGGGAAGCTATGCATGCTCTCGACAAAACTACAGGTGACTTTCCTCATTTATTGTGTACAATGAAGGTTATTTCCCATTTATTTTTGTTGAACATGTATATTTAATGGTGTTACATTGCTTATTGAAATTGTACAGTGATACATGTTATTTTAGATACAGTAAAACACAATTATAGCAAAGTGCCAAGGATAAACAATTTTGGTTCATTATAAAGTAATTCGTTATATCCGTCAAGTTTACAATACAAGTAAGAACCATGGGGAATGAAAATCACTTCATTGTAAGCATGAATTCATTTTAAGCATGCTCGCTATATCAGTGTTTTACATGTTACATACAGTTGAACTTTGTTATCTCAAACACTGACACAATGACATCTTCAGTACCAGGGATATGTTGAAGTAAATTGACAGTCCCAATCACCTTTTCTCTTGGGTTTTCAACGTCGTTATTTTGAATCTTCAGATATCTCTATTTCATCAAGTCTGAGGTACTGAAGTTTGACTTAGTAGGTACTTACCATTTCATGATTTGATTTAATCATAGGTTCTAGTGAAAGAGCTTTTCTGATGGAAGAGTGTTTGACATATGTCCATCAATAGTGTTTGATCAGGGCTCAAAATGATTGATGGCTTGATGGTTTGGGACCATTAAATCGTGGATATGGGATAATGCTTTTAGGAGAGCTGAGCATATGCCTGCCCTCTTCATCATAAGATTTCCTTAATGCTGCAGCTATGTATGCAACAAGTATGAAAAGCTGAGATAGATAAACAATTAAGTTAATGAAGTATTTTTAAACGACAAAAAAAATCTCTGCAGAAAACACCAAGGTTCAGATAAAGGCTAATGTAGAATCTGAAAAATGGCACTTCTAGAGGCGATTTAGAATCAGTGGTAAAGAAATTTGATTAAAAAAAATGTTGTTATTAAAATTGGAAAATAACCTCTTATATTGTAAAATTATGATCTGATTTTGTAATCATTGGTTTTGGGCCATTCTTTTTCTTATCTACTAGCCTGATGGGATGGTAAAAGTTCTTAGATGATAATTAAAAATTTAAGTTGATAGTCCAAGTGATTTCCAGTCCTGTTTATATTTAAGTTTATCATTTTGGACTTCCAGAACTACTAGATAAATTTTTTTATCAAAACTCTCAGTAATGTTAGCTTAGTTGTTAGAGCGCTTGCTCTGTGATCGGAAGGTCATGGGTTCAAACCCCAGCTGCGACTGACCTAAGTGGATAAAATATAGGTAGCAACTGTTCCTTCACCAAGTGCTTGGCACTTTAAAGTGAAAGTTATAGGTGTTTCAGATAAGACCGTAAAAACTGAGGCCCTGTGTCTGCTACTGTCACGGTAGGTGTTGTCAGGATAAAGATCCCTTACTGCTCAATGGCCCTGAGTGACAAGTAAAGGTCAAAATTTTAAGCCTTTCATCTGTATACTGTGACTTCTCTATATTAGTGAAAACTTCTGGAATGGAATATGAAACAACATACAGTCAATCAACAATTCAAAGAAACTCAGCATCTTCAGGATGATGGGATTGAAGTTTTGTCAAGTGAAAGACCATGCCATTTGGAATCGAGATAATAAACAAGGAATATTAAAAATAAAGTTGTTTCAAAATCTTCTTTTCAAGAACAAGTATGTTGAAAAAGAGAAACATACTAGTATGTGAAAGATCCTTTTTTCACAGTACATTCTCGAGGGCCAAGTGGGATAGCAGATTAACACATGAACATGGTGTATAAAGGGACAACTTTAAAAGCTTCTCAAGAACAAGAGTACCACAGTTAGCTGATATGCAAGGACATCCATGTACATGTACAGTGTACATGTAGTGTAAATTAAGTTTTTTCCCCAAATCATTTTGCCCTAGGGTATGGGACCACAATATAGTGTTAAAGCTTAATGTAATGATAAAGAGGTAAAATCTTATCAAAAAATCTTTTCTAAAATAGTTTCTACACAATTAGCTATATTAATATGCAAGCATTCTCATGTAACTAAGGTTCAAGTTTGTTCAAATCATGGTCACTTGAGCTGAGATGGGGCAACCATAGGGATCAAAGTTTTTCATGGGATCATATATATGAAGAAGAATCTTTTGAAATCTTCTTTTGAAAAAAAAGCAGGGACATGAGCCACATTATATAGTGTCAATTCAAGACTATTCAAATATGTCCCTTGATTTAGAGTAGGCCACAATAAGGGGTCAAAGTTTTACCTAGAAATATAAAAAAAAATATGTTACAATATGAGAATTTGACATCACCGAAGTGTATTAAGTATAAAGTAATTAAAGGGGTCAAAATCTTAAATTTCATGTAGTTGGCTTTCAACATCTCTATTTGTCAGGAAGAAATAGGTGACTCTGAAAAGCATAGTGGCTATGGACCTTTAGTTTGCAATTGATATTATCATAAACTTTCTTCAAAGTTACAGTTTGTCTATTTACCATGAGACAGTTATTAATCCTTTTTAATCAACAGGTGAACCAAGAGGCTACTTGACAGTAAAGAAGAAAACCCCATCATCACACACAGAACAGAGAGATATTTTGACTTTGTTTAAGATTTCACCTTCCTTTGACATTACTAATGTCAAGGTCTTCAGCCCTGGTATTTCTCCATTCATCTGCCAGTGGCAAGATTGGTTAGAAAAGGAATATATAGAACACGAGGATGAGAGCCAAGCACTGCAGTACATTATACAGAATCTTGACACCTGTGCCAAAGAAGGGGATGAAAATGAAACTGTTTTCACCACTCAGGTTGATATTAAATGTGTTGGTGATATTTCCAAGGCACATGCTTGTGAAGTTCACCAGCTTCTTACCAGCATTGAGAAAACATCTCTCTACAAGGCCGTGACAGATTATCTTGCTCAGCAGGGAAAAGACCAGCATTTTGACAAACTTGGGCGTTTAACTACCAATCTCTCCACTGGACAGGAGGAGTGTCTGACAGGCAAACTGACCACTGCCCACTTTGTGGTGATGTTCCTCTTCTCCTGGCCATATGAGGAAAGTGACCACAGCATAAAGAGGAACAAAGATCTGCTTCTTAAGCTGAAATCTGAGACATGTGGAAATGTGTTAACTGGGGAATGTAACATACTGAGAAAGCAGTTCACCAGCTTGCTGAAACTTCGCAAAGAAAAAATGGCTAAGAGGAAGAAGTGTAACTGTCACACAAAGTCATGTGAAGTGGCAAAGGATGTTTAAAGTTCTCTGATCCCTTAGCTAAGAGAGATAACTCTTAAAATGATTTATCATTGTGTTTTCTTTATAAAATATTCATTTTCAGTAATGATATTTCAGATTTTCTGTGTATGGTTTTTTAAGTTTGGTCATTTTTTTTTCTCTCATTTAATTATATATTCTTAAATACTGAAAAGGAAAAGAAATGCAGGGTAAAATTTTTGAAGTGAATAAATGCTATTTCTTCAAAAATATTTTCCAATATTGTTTTCTAATATTTAATCTCATCTTTAATCAATAAGTTATCAAAATTCCATTTGATTTTGATGATAATTATTGAGTTATTGAAATTTATATGATGGTGCCCCCCCACCCCCAGAAGTGAAAATAAAAGTTCTCGTTGTTGCCCTGACACATCTGCCACAGCCTTGATTCTTCTCTGCCTGGAGTTTTTCAGGTGCCTTCAAACCCTACCGTCCAGTTAGTCCCACAGATTTTCCATCTGATAAAAAGAATTTATGGAGGCCAGTTGATTTGGTAAATGTAAATGTTTGCAAGAAAGTCTTGACAAACTTTAACTACATTTTCCCGGGGGTGAACATGCTGACAAAATAGGCATATGACGCATACATGTGCGAGCGAGAGTAATACAGACATAAAGTTGACAAGCTTATGGACCAAAATAGAACAATTGGTTTCTTTCAGTTTTAGGGTGAATGTAACGATTATGATTGCCTGCTGTATTAATATTGGTTTCAGTTGTAATGACACGGTGATTACACAAGTTTCAGGTTGAATAGCATCATCTTGATGTGGCGTTACACACCAATGTCATTGTTGGTTGGACACCATTCCAGTTCATCTCTGACAATGCGAAAAATTTTCTATGGTGGAAAAATTATTAACAAACTGAACAGCAATATGTTGTTGTCTTTTTCTTCACTGAGGCAATTCAATTACTATAGACCCAATGGAACAGCTGTACCATGATTGCAAGAAATTCATATCAACTGTAAATATTGAAAAACGATATGTATATCCATCCACTGTATCAAGTGGTACTAAAAATATGTATCATCAATATGCACATGTTTTGGATTTTTACCATTATGTGACATCATACATTTCACGGATGAGTAATTTTGAACACTGAATTTGGTACATAGTAACCAAGATACGCCTCTGAATAGTTTTCATAATATTTGGCCAGGCAGTCAAAAATATTTTGCACATTATGTTACCCCGAGTTTCTTTTTCCTTTCACTATACATTCACAGAATAAAATTTATTTTTGTGAGCAGCTTCTCCTCTACTATTAATGTTCAGTTGTTGATTTTGAGATGTTGAGACAGTTTTGGTGCATTTTGCCATATTTATTATATTTGACTTTTTGTTTGAACATAAATGTAAACAAAACAGGATGAGATTGATGTTAAATTGTTTTAAATACTTCATCATATATGTATTTTAGTGTTGTATTTTTTATTGCCTGTTAATTATCTGACATACATTGTAAGTTTAATTTGTTATATATATCACAATATTTTATTTATATACATTTTTCATAGTGTGCTGCATACATATTTTTGTTTGATGATCCATGAGACTTTATTTGCTTTTTCCCCTATCTATTTCTTATTTGTTGTGTAGACATCATCACACTGATAAAAAGACTACAGGAGAATCATGGAATGGTACATGTAAAGAAAAAATACCTTAAAATTTACAGAATGGTGAAGAAAAACCCCCACTAGAAATTCTTGAAAATGATGCTGCTAGATTTGAGCAATTCTGCACAAGTACTAAGAGGGTAATATTTTGTAGTCTATGATAAAAGGTTATACTATTATTGCAATTTTCACAGAGTTTAAAGAAGACAAAGCCTCAAAGGTACTGCAAATTTGGATAGAGTGTTTTTGCTCCCATCTTATCTGCTTTTATTTTGCTTTGACTTAATCAATATGGTTGTTTTCTTTGATAGTTTCTTCTATTTTGTTTTTTTCTGCAATATTGGTAATAGAACAAAAATATAAATCGAAGTTTTACTATCTAAATGTTTGTATTTGGTTTAAAACTGGGTTTTTATGCCCCACCATTAATATGGTCGGGGCATCTAGTTTTATTGTTTTTGTTTGTTTGTTGTTTAATGTCCATCGAGAATTTTCCACTCAGATGGAGACGCGACCACTTGCCGGTGGAAGGCTGCAAATTTATACCTATACTCGGCACTCAGTGTCATTGAGCAGTGAGGGATCTTTTTCGTGCCAACACCTACTGCAGGACCTCAGTTTACACAGTCTCATCCGAAGGACCGGTGACGACGTCCCGGCATCTAGTTTTATGTCTGTCTTCTGTACTTTCGTCACACTTTGCGTTTAGCTGAGTTTCAAAAAATATTTTTATCAAAGTTCATAAGCTGATACTGTGGTGGCATATTTCTGCCCCTTACATGCAAGATAAATTAATTATGTTAACATGCGAGAAAAGTTTGTAAGCTTGCAAGATACTTATGTCTACATGCATAATAATTTTGTTGACATGCAAGTTGCCAATCTTTTTAGAGAATCTAATTTTAATGTTGGTAAACTTACTCTAAAGCCAGTATACGATATCATACAATCAAGAATTATGTTGACATGCGACTTATTTATGTTAGCAATAATATTGCAAGATGATTATGATAACATGCAAGATATTTATGTCAACATACGACTTATTTATATTATCATTCAACAAAATAATGTAGACATGCGACTTATTTATATAAATAAGTCGCATGTCTACATAATTATCTTGAATGTTGACAAAAAACATAATCCTATTGCATTTTGTTTGTATGCGCTGTCATGTATTATGGTGGCATATTTCTGCCCCTTGTGTGCAAGTTATTTTTCTATCAAATATGTCGACATGCAAGATAAATATGTTGACATGCAAGATAGTTATGTCAACATGCAACATAACTATGTTGACATGCAAGAAAATTGTAATCAAATAAAAATTATAAAAAATCTTCAAAAATCTCAAATATTGCCCACATGTGACATCCAACATGCTAGATGCTACTTATTAATGTCAACATGCATTTTATTTATGTTAACATGCGAGATAAATATGTCTACATGCAACTTATTTATGTCTACATGCAACTTATTTATGTCGACATGCATCTTGGTTATGTTGACATGCGAGATAAATATGTTGACATGCAACATATTTATGTCGACATGCAACTTATTTATGTTTACATGCATTTTTCAGATACAGTTCTGCTATGACCTTAATCTTAGACCTTAAAACATAGTTCAAGGTCACCGCACACCCTTTAAAAGAGACCTCAGATGAACAGATGGACGGACGGACACACTAATTACTATAGGTAGCCCGCAGAGAAGGGCCCTTAAAACGTTTTATAATCTACGGTCACGTTCTGAATCGCCAGGACATTTTATCTAAGGAAATCCAATTTATGCTTTGTTGTCCACCTCATATTATAGAAAATAATTTAAACTGCAACATTTGCTTAAATAAATTTTTGATTATTAAAATCAACTTCAATTTTGCCGACAGAAAAATAAAACAGAACCGTGCCTCATTGCACATGTCTTGGGTAGTAACGAATCTGCACGCTCGCACAAATGTTCAAATTGTGTATCACATAACTTCTTTTGCATTCAAATTTAATCATTTAATTCAAAATCTTATCATTTTGAAAAATTGATCATATTCTAAAAAGTATATATCCAAAATGAAATCACAAATCGATCATATTCACTGTAAACTTTTTTGGGATTCATGAGTCTTAAGACATTTACATCGATTTGTGATTTCATTTTTTGGATATTTACTTTTTTAAAATCATATATATATATATATATATATATATATATATATATATATATATATATATATATATATATATATATATATCCGCTACTCAACATAACTAAGTTGCATGTCAACATATCTATCTCGCATGTCAACATAACTAAGTTACATGTTGACATAAACAAATTGCATGTTGACATAACTAAGTTGCATGTTGACATAAATAAGTAGCATGTTAACATACGTAAGTTGCATGTTGACATAAATAACTTACATGCCAACATTTTTATTTCGCATGTCAATATGAATATCTTGCATGTCAACATAAATAAGTAGCATCTAGCATATTGGAAGTCACATGTGGGCAATTTTTGAGATATCTTAAAGATTTTTTATAATTCTTATTTGATTGCAATTTTCTTGCATGTCAACATAGTTATGTTGCATGTTGGCATAACTATCTTGCATGTCAACATATTTATCTTGCATGTCGACATATTTGATAGAAAAATAACTTGCACACAAGGGGCAGAAATATGCCACCATAGTCATAAATGGCGTTATTAAGTAACTTTACCAACATTAAAGTTAGATTCTCTGAAGAGATTGGTAACTTGCATGTCAACATAATTATTTTGAATGTTGACATAAATAAGTCGCTTGTCTACATAACTATGTTGCATGTCGACGTAATTTATCATGCATTTAGGGGGCAGAAATATGCTACCATATGATACATATTAATAAGAGCTATTCAAGTGCATCAACATTTTTTACTTTGAGCTTTCCTTTGACCTTGACACAACATGTCACTCCCAAAAAAAAATATGGCCATATTTGGCATGTGATCTGCAGGAATCATATGTATGAAACATTTATAGTTTAAATATCCATGATTTGGTCGGCTGACCCAGCTGAACAGAATTTAATACAAAGTTATGCACATATGAAAATATTACATTGAAATATATTGTCAAATTGTAATATTCAAGCCCTTTATCTGAAATAATAACATAGTAACACTTCACATAAACAGAAATAACAAAATTTATCTATTTTAAAATATTTCATACATGAATTAATAAAATTAAACTGACAAACGACTTGTTTGTTTAAAAAAAAAAATAAATGCGAGGATCAAGCAATAAATTTGATTTTCCGAGTGTTTTGGACTGGTAACGCATGCTACTGAGCTTTCATCCCTATGCAACAATATCATGGATTTTAAAAGGACAATGAAGCAGTGAAGTTAATTTTTATGGTCTCTGGGTACCGTAAATCACTTTTTATTCGCGAGAACTTTATTTTCGCGTAATTAGGCGAGTCTGTCTGCTCGCGAAAATTTTATTCTCGCATATATTTGTATCGTTATTTATTAT